CTCCTGATTTCTGTACATCACTTCCCATTGTTTGGTCTATAAATCTTCCACCATGTGGCTGTGCTGGAGTCTCTAAATTTGCTGTGATTCTCGGGGCTGCCCGATTCACCGTTCATTACCCAATGAAGGTCCTTTAAATTTAACTCGGCTGAAGTATTTGTTTTGCCCGTAGACACAGCTTCTCTACGTTTAGCAGATCTAATGTTTGGAGTTTCCTATGGCTAAAGCATGGGGCTGTGTTGCTTTTTCCTTCCAGGTGAGCTTATCAGTTCCCGAGACATAAAGGACACACATACCTACTGGTTTGTCCTCAGGCAGCATCTGGACCAGAAACACACACACACACCCCCCCCACTCGGCTTCACATCTTCATCTGGATGTCACTCAAACCTCTCAATCATCACATGTTCAACATAGGATTTTATTTTATTTTTTTTGGAGGCAACCTCTGCCTCCCAGGTTCAAGTGATTCTACTGCCTCAGCCTCCCAAGTAGCTGGGACTACAGGCGCCTGCCACTACACCCAGCTAATTGTTTTGTGTTTTTAGTAGAGATGGGGTTTCGCCATGTTGCCCAGGCTAGTCTTGAACTCCTGAGCTCAGGCAACCTGCCCACCACCGGCCTCCCAAAGTGCTAGGATTACAGCTGTGAGCCACTGCACCCGGCCTCAACATGGGATTTTAAGTTTTTTCTCTTGTCATGCTTTGTATTATTATTTCCAGTTATTCTTTCCTCTTCCATGAAAGAGGATTAAACATCCCACCCAGTTCCTAGTTACTTACATACCTTCTTGGGGAAGGGTCCACTTACCAGGCTTGCCATGTGTGGTGTCACAAAAATGTATCTGTTCATCTTAAATGAGGCTAATAGATACCTGTTCTTGGTCCCTAGTTCCTGGCACCGAGCTTCAGAAACCCTTGTAATGTCCTGAGCAATAGGAATGTCTTTGTGATGCTAATGACCCCTGGCAGCCCCTCGATGGCTTCAGGATGGGGGCTGGTCACCAGAAGGACCAAGCACTTGCTTAGAAAGTTGGGACTTGGGTTGATCACGACCATGGGGATGGAGGAGAGAGCCAGAGAATGAGGTCAATCAACCAATTTAATAAATTTAATCAATCTCATGCCCACATAATGACACATCAATAAAAAACGCTGCAGCACAGGCTTGGTGGAAGTTCTTTAGAGGAGTTGATGAATGCATCGATTGATGTCCTGGCCCTGGGAGGGTGATGTGTGCAGATTCCACGGGGAGAGGGCATCAAAATTTTGCTTTCCCTCCCAAACTTCATCCTATTTGATTGCAATTTTTGATTTAAGTCTGTTTTTGCTGAATTATAACTAATTATTTCTAATATAACTGCTAATGTAACATCACCTTTTAGATTTTCTTTTATCTTCCATTGTTATTATTGTCATATGTTTCCAAAATTCTTCAAGATTTGAAAACTTAAAGGAAGTGTGGTGAGTAGTTACATTTCCCTTTCATGCCTAACATTGTTTTCTTCCTTCCTTTCTTTCAACCTTGGTCAAACTTTGAGAAATTTGCCTATTTTATTAGTCTTCTCAAAGAATCACTTTTTGATTATTTATTTTGATTTTGTTAGTTTCTGCTATCTATTATTTTCTTCCTATCACTTTCTTTGATTTACTATGTAGTTATTTCTCCAATTTCTTTCTTTCTTTTCTTTTCTTTCTTTTTTTTTTTTTTTTTTTTTTTGAGATGGCGTCTTGCTCTGTTGCCCAGGCTAGAGTGTAGTGGTGAGATCTCAGTTCACTGTAACCTCTGCTTCCTGAGTTCAAGCGATTCTCCTGCCTCAGCCTCCCAGTAGCTGGGACCACAGGCATGTGCCACCGCGCCTGGCTAATTTTTTGTATTTTTAGTAGAGATGGGGTTTCACCGTGTTAGCCAGGATAGTCTCGATCTCCTGACCTCGTGTTCCACCCGCCTCGGCCTCCCAAAGTTCTGAGATTACAGGCCTAAGCCACCGTGCCCGGCCCTCCCCAGTTTATTTCATTCAATATTTAGCTAACAAATTTTTAGGTTTCTTCCCCCTTTACGAATAATATAAGCAATTAAGGCTGTATAGGCCCCTCTAACTATTGCATTAGGTATGTCCCAGAAGGTTTTATTTCAGTTCTAAATATTTTATCATTTCCATTATTATTTCTTTTGATGTATCAATTATTTATGTTTTCAAACTACAAATATAGTTTTTGGACTTCTTTGAGACAGAGTCTTACTCTGTCACCCAGGCTGGAGTGCAATGGTGCGATCTGGGCTCCCTGCAAACTCCGCCTCCTGGTTCAAGTTGATTCTCGTGCCTCAGCCTCCTGAGTGGTCAGATTACAGGTGTACGGCACCATGCCTGCGCATGTTTTTGTAGTTTTAGTAGAGATGGGCTTTTACCATGGTGGCCAGGCTGGTCTCAAACTCTTGGCTTCAAGAGATCTGCCTACCTCAGCCTCCCAAAGTGCTGGGATTACAGACGTGAGCCACTGTGCCCAGCCTAGTTTTTGGACTTCTTCATACAATTACTTTCCTACATTATGTTTATTTCAGAAAACATGGCCTGTATGACCATGTATGAACTTAAACTTGTTGAGTCTCTTTTTTACTCTCCCTGATTGGAGCTCTGGGCTGGTCTGGCTTCTTTGGCCTCCTGCGCAGTGTTTCCTAGTCCTCTTCCTCTCAGTGAGTCCTTCCAGAATTTTGCTTTTCTTTAGGGGGTCTCAGCTGCAATGCCCGTGACTTTTCACTTCTTCATCTGCTTCCTCATCTGCTGATCCTGTTTGACATTAAAACCCAAGCTTGTGCTTCCCAAGCGCCTGCTCTGCCCTACCCGGCAGCGGCCGGGCCCCAGGACCCGGACTCAGCATCCCGGCTGGCTCTCTCTTGACTCCCACCGACTGGGGATTTCCGTTCTTTATTAGGAGTTCTGCACTGCTTTTAGAAGGAAGCTTGTGACATTTCCGTCAGCATCTGTAGGTCTGTTGTGCAGAAGGGTGTTTAGGTTTAGGTCATTATATCCACTCCATGCTTTTTTGAACATTGAGACCATTGTGTTTATTTTTCTTTAATCTTTCCATTCTCTCCAAACAGAAACTGTACTTCTGGATATGATTCCCTCTAAGTAGAGAAAGGTTCACACAAGGAAGCAATGACAAGAAAAGCACAAACATGAATGTTCCCTTTATCTGCAATTAAGTCACTACTTGTTATGTGAAATAAAGTAACAAGTTATTAATGGCAGAATTATAGAAGTGGAAGGCAGAGGAGTGGTTGCCAGGAGTTAAGGAAGGGACAGAAGCTGGTGGGTTCCGTGGTTATAAAAGGGCCTCAGGACCGAACCTTCTGGTCACGGAGCTGCTGTGTCTTCCCTACGGTGGTGGTTACACGAGTTTACATACTAAACAGACAAACGCTCGCACAGACCTCAAATACACGGATGCCTGGACAAGTTATACCAGGCTCCCAGCTGGCATAGATGTACTTTTATTTTTATTTATTTTTTATTTTTTGAGATGGAGTCTCCTTCTGTCACCCAGGGTGGAGTGCAGTGGTGCAATCTTGGCTCACTGCAACCTCTGCCTCCTGGGTTCAAGCGATTCTCCTGCCTCAGCCTCCTTAGATGTACTTTTAAACTCAGTTATCTAAAAAAGGGTCTTGCTGGCCAGGCGCGGTGGCTCATGCCTGTAATCCCAGCACTTTGGGAGGCTGAGGTGGGCAGATCACGAAGGTCAGGAGATCAAGACCATCCTGGCTAACACGGTGAAACCCCATCTCTACTAAAAATACAAAAAATTAGCTGGGCATGGTGGCTGGTGCCTGTAGTCCCAGCTACTCCGGAGGCTGAGGCGGGAGAATGGCATGAACCAGGGAGGTAGAGCTTGCAGTGAGCTGAGATTGTGCCACTGCAATCCAGCCTGGGTGACAGAGCAAGCCTCAAAAACAAACAAACAGATAGACAAAAAACAGGGGTCTTGTCCCAGATGCCAAGAGCGAGTTCTTGGATCCCACATGGGAAAGAATTCAGGGCAAGTCGCAGAGTATAGTAAAGTTAAAACTGCTTATTAGAAACTATTACAGAGTAGGGTGTCCTCGAAAAGCAAGGAGCACCTTAAACGTAACGCTTGCCTATATAGCATATTAAGGCAAAGAAGAGTGTAATTTATTACAAAGATTTGTGATCAGCTTGCAACAGGCTATTAATAGTTATTTTCTTGTGCAACTGTTGATTTCAGCAAGAATTTATGAATGTGTTGTTGTTATCTCTAAAGCAAACCCTATTCTTAAACTAGGAATGCTTTTTGTTCTTCAAATACCAGGACATTTCCGTAAGTTTTAGTTCTTTACGTAGGTAGTCAACTTGTTCCCTCAACTATAAACATTTTGTGACGGAGAGTGCTCAGCCCCCAGGGAATGTCCCCCAGCAGGTTTGGCTTTATCCAGCCTTTGTTCAGGATGGAGTCACCCTGGTTAGGACGCCTCTGACCATTCCGATGTTCTCATAATCAGTGCCCAATACCTTGATAAGAATCTCCCAAGGTATTTGCAACACTGTAAGAAATAGCAATTTGGTTTAACAAGACATTACATCTTGTGCAGAAGTAAATGAAATATACATTTATAATATCCTATCGAGTATTCTAACTCCCTGCTACTGAAACTGCATCAACATCACTGGAGAGCTTGTAGAATACAACCTTTGCAGTGAGCCATGAGCATGCCACTGTACTCCAGCCGGGTAACAGAGGGAGACGTATCTTGAAAGAAAGGAGAGAGAGAGAGAGGAGAGAGAGAAGGAAGGAGGAGAGGGGAGGAGAGGAGAGGGGAGGGGAGGGGAGGGGAGAGAAATGCAGCCTTTCTAGCCCCAGATGTACTGAAGTAGAATCTACCAGTTAACAATATCCCCAGGTGATCTGAATTTGTATTAAAGTTTGAGATGCATTTGTCCAAATCCTTTATTAAATTGGTATGCTTAGATTTTTCTCATATAATCTTCAAATGAAATTATAAGGGGCATGATTATAAACAATTATCTAGCAATGATATCTCTTAAGTCCTTGGATGGCATTTCCAAAAACATGAGATAACATTTACTGTAACTCAAGGTGAAAAATGTTTCATCAAAGACTGTGCCAATGTCTGCCCAAAATAATGGGAGCAGCTACAAGGAACACAAAGATGCTCTCAGGGACCGTCAAGGGAAGTCTCATTTGTGACGTCTCTGCAATGTGCTGCGTTTCACTTTTGAAGACGTTTTCCGAGTTTGATCTAAGTTCTCCGTCGTGCATATACCATTTCGGTTTGGGACATCTTGGGGGCACAGAGAGGAAGCCTCGTGGGTCAGGAGTTCTGGTATTGCGATTCTTTGCATGAGTTACCGCTCATGGGTGGCATGACTTTCGAGGTCTTGGCTTCTTTGTCAGTGATAGGAGAGACTGAGCCAGACCAGCAAGTTTCAGGCAATCTCAGAAGTATCTACAAAGGCACTGTGCAGCTTACCCTTGTGCAGAGAAAGATGAGATCCTTGGGTGAGGATCTGAAACCCTCATGTGACCACCTCCCACGCCAGCTTAATGAGAGCAGTCCTGATACCATGTTTTTACCTATTGTATTCTTTGTGCATCCTCATTTGAACAAAGGATGTTGCTATTGAAAGAAGGCTGAGAACAAATGTCTATTAAGGAAGGTCTCATGGAAATACTTTGATTCTAAGTTTAAGGACCATGTAGTTACCCTGAAGTCAATGGGACACAGAACACGTATAGCACTGAGGATAGTGACCTCAGTAAACATTGCAAGATTGATCATTAATTGTCATCTGTAGGATGCAGTAAATTCCTCTTCAAAGTTTAGCCTGTTCCTGTCTTTTAAAATTTAAGAGGGAGAAAATTGTTAAGTACAATGAGTTCTCTGAGTTCCTCTCCAAAGAACCAATGTGTCAGGATGTTCGGCTGTTCTTTGTTCTCCACTTTAAAGTTTAACTTTCTCGTTCTTTACATCTGTTTGCCCCTAGTTTCAGTAAACAACTCCCTCCTAGCCTCTATCACCTGCTCTGTCCTTAGTCACCTGTTCTGTGCCTAGTCATCCATAGTCACCTGCTCTGTCCTTAGTCATCCTTAGTCATCTGCTCTGTCCTTAGTCATCTGTTTTGTCTTTAGTCACCTGCTCTGGTCTTAGTCATTCTTAGTCACCTGCTCTGTCCTTAGTCACCTTTAGTCACCTGTTCTATCCTTAGTCATTGTTAGTCACCTGCTCTGTCCTTAGTCACCTGCTCTGTCCTTAGTCAACCTTAGTCATCTGCTCTGTCCTTAGTCACCTGTTCTGTCCTTAGTCATCCATAGTCACCTGTTGCGTCCTTAGTCACCTTTGTCCTTAGTCACCCTTAGTCACCTGTTTGGTCGTTAGTCACCTGCTCTGTCCTTGGTCACCTGTTCTGTCCTTAGTCATCCTTAGTCACCTGTTCTGTCCTTAGTCATCCTTAATAGTCACCTGTTCTGTCCTTAGTCCACCTTTGTCCTTAGTCATCCTTAGTCACCTGTTCTTAGTCATCCTTAGTCACCTGTTCTGTCCTTAGTCATCCTTGAGTCCTGCTCCTGTCCTTGAGTCACCTGTTCTGTCCTTAGTCACCTGCTCTGTCCTTAGTCATCCTTAGTCACCTATTCTGTGCTTAGTCACCTGCTCTGTCCTTAGTCGCCTGCTCTGTCATCAGTACCTCTTCTGTCCTTAGTCATCCTTAGTCACCTGTTCTGTCCTTAGTCATCCTTAGTCACCTGTTCTGTCCTTAGTCATCCTTAGTCACCTGTTCTTAGTCATCCTTGATCACCTGTTCTGTCCTTGAGTCATCCTTAGTCACCTGTTCTGTCCATAGTCATCCTTAGTCACTGTTTCCTTAGTCACCTGTTCTGTCCTTAGTCATCCTTAGTCACCTGTTCTCTAACCGTCCTGCCACTCTGGCTCGCACCCCTGCTCTCTTTAAAATAGCCAATCGGAATTAGCGTAGACTGTGCAGTCCAACCCTAGTAAATAGGGGAAAAATATAGCAGTAGGGCTAGCTGTGTTAGGAATAAGGCCCCCTTCCCCTCCCTTGTCCAGTGTGCTCTTGCCATTGTTCCATCTGTGAGATGCACACTTCTATAAAGGTAAATTGCCTTGCTGAGAAAACTTTTGCCTGAGTGCTATTTTCAGTTGGTGGCACCAAGCATTTACTTTCAACATCATCCCATCCAACAGCCTCACAGTTGCCCTGTTATGGCTGAATGAGCTTGTAGTATAGGCCTGGGGAGCATGAACACAGATTCCAGAGTGAGACTGCCAGTGCCGAAATGAGACTGTTAGTAGTTTTTATTTATTCCACTTTTGTTCTAGGTTTCACTGAGGAAATGTTGGTTTCAGGGTGCTGCTCAGATTCCCCTGGGCTGTTATCTGCATATTACTTTCTGTCTGATGGGTCCTCTGGGTAGCTGACACTGACATGGAGTTCAAAGAGTAAGAGATGACCAAGGGTGACTCCTGGGAAAAATAAAAGGGAGTAGAAGCAGGCTGAGATATGGAAAACCTTCCCGCACTGTGGTGGTCTCACAGCTTAGACCACATTACAGGTCACATGTGGGCTCGGCCAACTCCACAGGGAGTTCTAGGGTGAGGAGCCTCATGTTGGGCTGAATCAGCCAGGCCCCTGTGCCTTTCTGTGCCCACTTCTTGGCTGGGGACTGCCAAGAAAGAGCATGGCGTTAACTTGAAAGCCGAGGTCGATCTCAAATGAACTACCAGATGCAGGTTGGAGAGTGTTAGCTACCTGCACTCATCGCTGTGGAAGAGATAGTTCTTTCTCTAAGGGAGATCTGAGAGCTACTGCCCTGGGGCTGCCATGTAGCTCTTGCTCTCTCTTTTTTTAAAAAATAGCTTTATTGATGTATAATTCACATGCCTTAAAGCTTACCAGTAAAAGTGTACTGTTCAGTGATTTTAGTAAATGTATAGTTATGTAACCAAAATCACAATCCAGTTTTAGAACGTTTCCATCATCCCAAAATGTTTGCTCCCTCTTCCCACTCCCATCCCCAGCTGCAGGAGACCATGAATCTGTTTCGTGCCTCTGCAGTTTTACGGTTTGTAGAAATGGTATCTAAATGGAATCATACAATCTGTAGTCTTTTGTGTCTGACCTCTTTCACTTGTGTTTCTGAGGTTCATTCATGTTGTTGCATGTGTTAGTAGTCTGCTGCTTTTTAGAAGTGTGCTGAGTAGCATTCCATGATGTGGATATACATTTAGTTTATCTACTTTTCAGGTGATGGGCTAATTTCTGGTTATTATGAATAATGTTGCTATGAACATTTGTATACAAGACCTTGTGCAGATCCATGTTTTCATGTATTTTGGTTACATACCTAAGAGTGAAATTGCTGGGTCATATGGTAATTGAATGTTCATTTTTTTAAGCAACTGCCAAATGGTGTTTCAAAGTGGCTGTATCATTTTGCAGTCATGCCAGCAATGTAGGAAGCTACATATCGCAGTTTCTCCATATCCTGGTCAGATTTTGGAATTATCAGTCTTATTGTTTGCAGTCATTCTAGTGGGTGTGTAATAGGTATTTCATTGTGCCTTTAATTTGCATTTCCCTAGTGACTAATAATATTGGCCATTTTAATGTGCTTATTTGTATATCTTCTTGCGTGAATTGTCTTCAGCTTTTTCTATTAATGAGTTATGAGTTCTTTACATAGTGTGGGTACAAGTCCTTTATTAGATATATGGTTTGCAAGTATTTTTTCATAGTCTGTGGCTTGTCTTTTCATTGTTTTTTTTTTTTTTTGAGACGGAGTCTTGCTCTGTCGCCCGGGCTGGAGTGCAGTGGCCGGATCTCCGCTCACTGCAAGCTCCGCCTCCCGGGTTTACGCCATTCTCCTGCCTCAGCCTCCCGAGTAGCGGGGACTACAGGCGCCCGCCACCTCGCCCGGCTGGTTTTTTGTGTTTTTAGTAGAGACGGGGTTTCACCGTGTTAGCCAGGATGGTCTTGATCTCCTGACCTCGTGATCCGCCCGTCTCGGCCTCCCAAAGTGCTGGGATTACAGGCTTGAGCCACAGCGCCTGGCCTTTTCATTGTTTTTTATGGTTTCTTCAGAAGAGCAAAACTTAAAATTTTGACAAAGTCCAACTTATTTTTTAAATGAATTGTGCCTTTAGTGTGATATCTAAGAAATCTTTGCCTAACCTAAGGTCAGAATGATTTCCTGCTGTGCTTTCTTCTGTACATTTTATTTTTTACATTAAGTCAATGATTCTTGACTGGAAACAGTTTTGCTCTCCAGGGCACATTTGGGAATATCTAGAGATGTAGATTGTCACAACCAGGTATGTGTTGGGGGAGGGGTGCCACTGGCATCTAATAGGCAGAGGCCAGGATACAGCTAAACATCCTACAGTGCACAGGACAGCTCTCCACAGCAAAGAATTATCCACCCCCACAAACGCCAACAGTGTTGAGGTTGAGAAACCCTGACTTAGTCTATGTTTAGCTAATGTTTGTGCATGGTATGAGGTAAGGATCCTAGTGCTTTTTTTTTTCCTTCTGCCAGCACCATTTGTTGAAAAGAATATGCTACTATACTGAATTGCCTCGGCAGCTTTGTTCAAAGTCAATCGGCCATAAATATGAAGATTTATACCTGAATTCTCTATTCTGCTATTTGATTTACATGTCTGTTCTTTTGCCAATATAATACTTTTGTTGTTGTTGTTGTTTTTGAGATGGACTCTCCTAGGTTCAAGCTATTCTCCTGCTTCAGCCTCCTGAGTAATGGGGATTACAGGTGCATGCCACCATGCCTGGCTAGTTTTTTATATTTCTAGTAGAGACGAAGTTTCACCAAGTTGGCCAGGCTGGTCTTAAACTCTTGACCTCAAATGATCCACCCACCTCAGCCTCCCAGAGTGCTGGGATTACAGGTGTGAGCCACGGTGCCTGGCTGATACTTTGTGATTATTGTAGTTTCATAGACAGTTTTGGAATCAGGTTCTATAAATCCTCCAACTTTGCTCTTAAAAAAAATTGTTTTGTCTACTAGATGTTCTTTGCATTTTCATAAAAAATTTAGCATCAGCTTTTCAAATTCTACAAAAAAGCCACCTGAGATTTTGAGAACTACCATCTTAACAATATTGCATCTTCTAATCCATGAACTTTGTATATTTCACTATTTAAATCTTTAACTTCTTTCAGCAGTGTTTTACGGGTTTCAGTATACAGATGTTACACTTCTGCTGCCAAGTCTATTCCTATTTTGTTTATTTTTAGATGCAATTTTAAATGGAATCATGGTCTTAATTTCATTTTGAATTGCTTATTGACTATATATAAATACAATTCTGTTAGTTTTGTATATTAACTTTGTATATTGCAATCTTGCTAAACTTGTTATAAGTTCTTGTAGGGTTTTTTTTTTCATTCCTTACAATTTCTATATGTAGTGTCTTATATTCTTGAGAAAAAAGACTTATTTCTTCACTTCCGATCTGTATAGCTTTAATTTCCTTTTATTGCCTTCTCTGGGTAGAATCTTTAATACAACATTGAATAAAAGTGGTGAGAGCCATAAGCCTTTAAAAAATTAACAAGAATTCAGAATCCTGAGAACCTCTAGTCCTATATGTTTTGAGTAAGGCTTTGCAGACCCACAGTAAGCTACTAATAGGATTGTTGGAAGGGTAAAATGAAGTACAACATGTAATACGCTTAGTGTAATGTCTAGCAACAGTTAGTCCTCATAAAATATTAGCTTTCAGAAAGAGAATTTTGACTGACCGCTGGCAGGCCAGCATCAGGGATCAGAACTTAACATTGAGGACTGAGGCCTGGGTGGGCAGAGGCTGGGCTGGCTCCATGGCTGATGTGGTGGGTGATGGAAGTTGTCTGTGGCTTGTCCCCAGCATGAGTCAGCACAATGTTTGTCAGCCTCCTCAGGGATTTCTGGTGCTGTGGGAGCGCTCCCAAGCCAGGATGCTTGTGGTTATAGAGAAATGTAATGTGAAGCGAGTGGACTCAGGAATGACGCATTGTATTGAAGTTCAATTGCTGTTAGAGGATGAGTATGATGAGGGGATGATTTGGGTGTATACATTATTTTAAAATCAAGAGAAAACCCTTCATGATTTCCAGTTTCTATGGTTTTCTATAGAATGCCAATTTCTATAGAATGCACTGCTACGTCCCTTCTCAAAGGTTCATTCTAGAAGTTGATCATTCTAGAAGTTGACATCTGTTGAGGGACTTGAAATTGGAGGTAGGAACAACAGCTGAGATGAGCAACAGATAGATAACCTGGAGTGGGAACAGCACCACAGTGAGGGCTCAGTGGCACCTCCAACCTCGCTGGGACTCAGCATCTCGTTTTCCTTGCAGAGATCCTTCGCCTCCTTGGTTACATGTGTTCCTAGGTATTTCATTCCATGGCTATTGGAAATGGGATTGCGTTCTTGATTTGGTGCTCAGCTTGAATGTTATTGTGTATGGAAATGCTGGTTTTTGTACATGGATTTTCTGTCCCGAAACTTTACTGAAGTCGTTTATCGGTTCCAGGAGCCTTTTGGCAGAGTCTTTAGGGTTTTCTAGGTATAGAATCATATTGGCAGTGAAGAGAGACAGTTTGACTTCTTTTCCTATTTGGATGCCTTTTATGGTTTATTCTTGCCTGATCACTCTGGCTAGGACTTCCTAGGATTTCATTTGTTTAGAAGGTGACAGACACATCAGTGTTTCTTATTCATTTATTTATTTGAGATGGAGAGTTGCTCTGTCGTCCAGGCTGGAGTGCAGTGGAGCAATCTTGATTCACTGCAACCTCAGCTTACCGCAACGTCCGCCTTCTGGGTTCAAGTGATTCTCCTGCCTCGGCCTCCTGAGGATCTGGGACCACAGGTGTGCGCCACCACACCCAGCTGATTTTTGTATTTTTAGTAGAGATAGGGTTTTGCCACGTTGGCCAGGCTGGTCTCGAACTCCTGACCTCAATGATCTGTCCACCTCGGCCTCCTAAAGGGCTGGGATTACAGGCGTGAGCCGCCGTGCTCAGCCACAAATCGGTGTTTCTATGAATCAGCCCCAGCTGCCAATTTCCTCTTGAGGATGGCAGGCAAAACGTGGCCAATGGATGTTGTGATCCCTTGTTGGTGATGCTTTGTTCACCATAAAGCAGGCTTGCAGAAGTAAGACACTCAGATGGCACCAATCATCCTGTGTAACACCCCCCATACCTATCTCCTTTCATTACTTTAAGAGAGGAATCTCCGCTAGATAAAAGTCACCTTAATAACTGGCAAATGTCTTTCCTACCTAACAGATAATGTATTAATAAAGATCTTCGAGTCTAAGCCAAGAAGCTTTCAGAGCTCTCTAGTTGTTCTCAGTAATAAAACAATGCCAGTGAATTTCCATTCTGTATTTGGCAGCACCGTGTTCTAATGACAAAGGTCCTGTGACCTTTCAATTAAGATCATTACCAAGCTACAAAGACTGGAATTCTATAGAAGAGGCTGACAGGTCACCTGAGGTCAGGCATTTGAGACCAGCCTCGCCAACATGGTGAAACCCCGTCTCCACTAAAAATACAAAAATTAGCTGGGCGTGGCGGCCCATGCCTGTAGGCCCAGCTACTCGGGAGGCTGAGGCAGGAGAATCGCTTGAACCCGGGAGGTGGAGGTTGCAGTGAGCTGAGATTGCGCCATTGCACTCCAGCCTGGGAACAGAGCAAGAATCCATCTCAAAAAAAAAAAAAAAAAAAAAGGCCCGAAGCTTCTCTGAAACACAAATTCAGTCATCAGAAAGTCACCTGCGAGTTCTTAAGCGCCACAACGCGTGGCAAACATGATACCAAAAGTCATCTTGTATATGCCAGTTCCTTCTCTTCACCATTGTTTCTCACTTGAACATCCAAAGACGGTTTTGCAAGCTGTGCAGTCAGCACAGGCCAGTGAGGTCACTGTCATTGTGGCAATAGGTACTTTTCAGAGGCACAGACCTTGTGCTGGGTGATGGAATCTAGAGAGAGAGGGAAAAGCAGTTTAGCATTCAAAATAGCTAGCCACACAGGAAAGTGATAACCTGTTTGTATATACATGAAACTATATTTAAAAACAAATGGTCAAGAGCTGTGTTGTCCATAGGCCCCCCGTCCATAGAGCACACATGACTTTTTAAATTAACATGAAACAAAATTCAATACAATGAAACATTCAGGTCTCGGTCACACTGGCCAGTCCCATTAGATGCAGGACACAGATGACGCTCCCATCGTGGCTGAACACTCGGTGGGCAGGGTGGGAAGCTTGCCAGCCTGTGACACAGGAGTTCTCTAATCTTAGCTCACCACTTCCAATACTCTCGGCATAAGGCAGAGGAAAAAGAAATACATAAATGAGTTTTAACTGTGACACCAACAGTGAGAGGTGAGCCGTGCCATCCTATCTACCCAGCATAGGTTATTTTTATGGAATACCAAGTGAATAAGCATACTTCCTAAAACTCAGTTCTTCATGGCTCAAATTAAAGGAGATCTACAGTCCCATCAGTTTGAAACTCGACTATTTTACGAAAATTACAAGTTGCACCTGGTCCAGGCTAGCGCTGCAGGTGCAGCTGAAGGATCAGCACAAGTGATCCTGGCAGCTGGCGGAAACGACCCCTCCCTCTTTCCTCCGTCCTGGCCAGTGTCCTGCACTGCGTTCTATTCCTACTGCTAGAAAAAAAGGAATGAAGTCCACTGTCAGCACTGATTGGATGATAAGGTAGATTAAATCAATCAATTGCAATTAAAGAATCACAATGATTGTGTGATTA